CGCCGCCGCGCCGCTTCACCGCCGCAGCCGCTCGCCCGCGCCACCGCGCTGGTCCCCGCGCTGCCCTCGCCCCTCGCCGCCCTCGCCCCTCGTCGCGAAGCCCCGCCTCGCCGGAGTTCGCCGTGGCCGCTGCCCCGCCTCGCCGGAGTTAACCGCCGCCGCCTCCGGTTTATTTCCCTCGAACCGGTATAACCAATAAAACCCGACCCGGTTTTCTCTTCGGTTTTTCTTTTCAACGATTTATTGATTTAGGTTAATTTAATTAGAGATCGTTCATCCGTTAGTTCTCTGTAGCGAACGTTCGTTATTCAGTATTTTTCTTTTATTTTAGTTTTCTGCCAGGGACCTATTCGCTAGGTTTTATTTTACAGATTTTGCCCCTGATTTTCAAACGATCGCTACTTTTTACTCGTTTGTCCAAATCCAACGAAACCAACGCCCACTCCTTCGTTACAATCCCCTCTATCCAGTAAAACAACTTAAACATATTTTTGAAAGTTTAAAATTTGAATTAGATCAGATTTGAATTTGAACTTCGTTTAATCATAACTTGAATTTTATAACTCCGATTTGAGTAATTCTTTTTGTATCTCAAAGCTCTTGACCTAAACTTTCTGATAAGGCCAAATTCACTTAATTTTGGTACTATTAGAAATTGTTTTATACTGCAAGAGTTATTTGCTTGGTTTTGATGTTTCCCGATGTTGTTCTCTTCGTTCTTTCCGATCTTTTGAGTGATTGCTTATGTGTGGTTACTATTGCTTGCTCACGATAGATTGACCGGAGTGTGACGAGTAGAACTATCAGGAGTTTTGAGTGCGAGTCATCTTCATCAACATTGCAGGCAAGTTCACACTTTGATCATATCCCTTTCATACCCAGTTTTTATGCATTAGTTTCACCCTCAAACATTGCATGAGTAGGTTTGATAACATGTGGGTTTTGGGAAGTAGTTGCTGAGGTAGAACCTATTGCCCTGTTTATTATCAAACCCTTGGGAGTTACTTCTACGCGTTGCTTATTTTGCCATGCTATGCTCGTAGACGTGGATTGGGTTTGAGTGATTTCCATGACAGATGTGAGATTGTTAAATTAATGGTTTACTTAAGGTGGCAACTTTAATACACATCTGGGTGGACTGAGGCACCTGGGGTATCCAGTGATTGCCTGTTTTATTTTTGGAAATCCCGGGGTTACCGTGTGATTCTCCTGTGGACCGCCACCCAGGCTCAAAGGGAACTGAGTCTATTCATGCTAGAAACTTTCGTGTGCAGCCGCAAGCTATTATGGGCTCTAGCATAGTTGAGTAAGTTACGTGAAGCTCTTGAAGAGGTGGATCAGCAGGTAGTGGGTTTGTAGGTTTGGTATGGTCTGCCCGGAGTATAGAGTTAATGTTTCAGAAAGACTGTGTCTCGGTCATCCATTTCTCAAACATCATGTAGTGCGAGGAATCAGCGGAGGCGATCGAGTCTTGCGGGGAAAAGTGCGCAAACCTCTGTAGAGTGTACAATCTAATCATGGTTAGCCGTGTCCCCGGTTATGGACAATTCTGAGTATCTAGTACTTGAGTATTCGCATGTATCTCAACACTTTTAAATTAATCTTGCTGGGTTGTTAACTATTTTAATTGGGATCATTGAGTTGGGATTACCTTCTCAAATGATGTTTCAACCACCATGATAGTTAAATTAAAATTTATTCCTTTGTAGTAGGAAAAAATTGGCTTTTCGCAAAAACATTATAACTATAGAGCCTCCACTAGCCAAATATGCATGTACATTCAATGTACTGACCCTCTGTGGCTGCAACGTCTCATGTTGCAGGATCTTACGATGAGTAAGTGATACGTTAGGGTTACGATTTCTACACTCAACTTTGCCATTGGTGTTGATGGGAATCCACTACCTTGTTACTTTCGCTATTTTGGATTGAGGTAATAGTATTTACGTTACTTTATACATGTGATTTACCTCTGTTATAAATCCTCGAGTACTGTGTGTGTCAGCATACCGATCCAGGGATGACAGTAAGCACAGAGACTTGACCCATTCGGGTCGGGTCGCTACAAGATGGTATCAAAGCACATGTTGACTGTAGGACGTGACCCTAGAAACTGGCAAGCCCATAGGAAAGACTTTTCTCTACAACTTTCTTTTCAAAAGAATCTTTTACCTCTCTTCTCTTCTGAGCTTATTCAAATATTTCCTTTTAGTGAGACCATACCCCTTTTCCCCTTTTTGACCACTCAAAGATTCGACTAATGAGACCACTCCAAGAAGGACAAGATATCAGACAACTAAGACCACTTCGGAATGAAGAGGATTTTACCGAGCATTATAATGATGGAAACTATGATGGATAAAGACTTCAAAGACTAGGAGAATATGAAGAATTTCCAGATTTGGT